GAGCCCGATGCGGGACTCGATCCTGGGACTCCAGGATCATGACCTGAGCCGAAGGCAGTCGCTTAACCAACTGAGCCACCCAGGCGCCCGGAGCTGCTGCCTTTAATTTATTTGTTTTTTTTTTCTTTTTTAAAATTTAAATTCACTTAATTAACATATACTATGTTATTAGTTTCAAAGGTAGATTTCAGTGATTCATTAGTCTTGTATAACACCCAGTGCTCATTACATCACGTGTCCTGTTTAATGTCCATCACCCAGTTACCCCATCCCCCCCCGCAGCAGTCCTCAGTTTGTTTCCTGTAGTTAAGAGTCTCATATGCTTTGTCTCCCCCTCTTATTTCATCCTGTTTTATTTTTCCCTCCCTTCCCCCATGATCCTCTGGCTCAGTTAGTGGAGCATCTGACTCGATCTCAGGGTCATGGGTTCAAGCCCCCACGCTGGGTGTAGAGATTACTTTAAAAAAAAAAAAGGTTTTCTGACTTCTAGTGGCACACTGACTTTTGTTTATTATAGTTAATGATTTATTTATCCTCCTAACAAACAAGAGGTGTCAAGAGCTTTATGGAAATATAGTATGCGTAAACAGACTTTTCATACAATTTCAGAAATTTCACATTATAGCAAAAGACTATATGATCCTCTGGCTCAGTTAGTGGAGCATCTGACTCGATCTCAGGGTCATGGGTTCAAGCCCCCACGCTGGGTGTAGAGATTACTTTAAAAAAAAAAAAGGTTTTCTGACTTCTAGTGGCACACTGACTTTTGTTTATTATAGTTAATGATTTATTTATCCTCCTAACAAACAAGAGGTGTCAAGAGCTTTATGGAAATATAGTATGCGTAAACAGACTTTTCATACAATTTCAGAAATTTCACATTATAGCAAAAGACTATCAGCAAAGCATACTAGTTAGTGGAAAGGTAAGGGCAGTTATTTGACTTTCATGTTGTACTCTTAGGATGCCAAACTAATAGTTCATAGTTTTAGATTTAACTTTGAACTTTCAGGTTAGCTTAAAATTGTTTGTAAAACTTAATGTTAGGGACAAGTTAGCAACCTTTTAAAAAATTAAGATTCTATGAATAGTTTGAGGAAATAAAATCAGTGTATGTGATCAAAATTTTTTCTCAGATGAAATAATACTTTGCATGTTAGTGGCTCCTAAGAGCTCAAAGCTTTGGAGAAACTTAAGAAGCATTATTTGTAGGTGGAGAAATAAGGTAAGTGGTTTGCCCAGAGTTATAGTAAAAGAACTGTATTAATTAAATTAATACTTAATTAACATTAATTATTAGGATTAAATTCAGTATTAGTTTTAATTTATTGTATTGCAGTTAGTTGCTCCCCATACTGGCACTGGTAACCAGACAATAAAAATTAGCTTCTTTCATGAAAACTGTATTTGTGTTATTTTTATTTTCCTGGCAATATTAGGGTATATCAATATGGACTTTTAATCAGGAAATATATTGTGCATTTCAGAAGTTTAGTGGGATGAATACATTTATTTACACTAGATAAATTTATTTAACATGAATTTTAGGTAAGTGGTTTTGTCAGATCTGGAATGATATATATAATATTTAAAATTTGTTAAAATCTATGAAGCATTTTAGAAAAGTAAGTATGATCTGTATTTCAAATTTTTTTCTAGGCACATTTCACACTTCATGCAAAACATCCCTTTTCCTTCACCACAAAGACCAAGAATCCTTGTACAGGTAATGAAAAACAAATATTTTTGAGGGAAGCTCTGCATATGTTCATTCTAGTCATTGCAGAGTGGATTCTATGGCCCTTTGAGTTTGAGGTGGAACAATATGTGTCTATAAAGTCCTTGAATTTCCTGTATTTTATCTTTTATTTGGGTGGTCAGAATTGGAATAAATATAATCTTGATTCATGACATTATCATCATTGGTCTGTGCATGGCTTTTATGTAGCTGATTTTAATAATGTAAAACCCAGAATTGTGTTATGGGCATGTTTTTCAATCAGAGCAACTAATAAGTATTAAATATGAAATGATTTGTGGTTGAAGGGAAAAAGTGAAATAGTCTATGAAAGGTCTTCAAACTTTCTGTGTTAAAGGACCAGTTTCTTTTTGTTTCCAATCAGTGGCAGACCTATATAAGTTTACAGCTTGTGAAAAGTGCACCTTACTATGTGAGCAGTGTAGACATGAACATGTCTGTGCCCTGTCTAAAGACAAGAGCCCTCTGATCATGTACTTGGGGGTAGGAGCAGTGTCATATTGCCATTCAAGTTTCTAAATGGTTTGCTCTCCATTTATATACAATCTTTTCCTGGACCAGTAACAGTTTGCAGACTGGCACTTCGAGTGGTACTGATCTATCTATAGAGGCAAGCTATTTAAAAATTGTTCTCTAAGATGTTATCAACATTATATATGATATGGTGGCATTAAGGCAAATATTGTTAATCTTGAATGTACTGCAGTTATGTACTTCAGCAGATATTAATATATAGTAATCGACTGCCAAATGCCTGCCAGTCTATAGAGTAAATAAACTTGAAGCTTTTAAAAAGCAGTTACTTCATAATTTTAAAATAACTGTGTTTTAAACAGTTAACTGAATCAAAATTCAGTTGAATTAACCATTTAATTTAAAAGAACTAATATAATACCTCTGAGTAAATACAGTTATTGTTTTATATCTTAGTATTTTCTGAAACTATGTCAGGTTGCATATTAAACTACTTTCTATATTACCCTTGATATAAATATTTAGTTTCAAGATTGGCTTGATAATTCATCTTTTCTTTTTTTTTTTTTTGAAGCTTTCAGTCCATGATGCATTAATATTATCACAGCCAGTTTCTACACCTTTACCACTAAGGTAATTAATAGTATCTAAAATGATATTTTCATTCACTTGGGAGAAGAATGCTTTAAAATATTTTAAGGGCTAGGATAATAAAGTTAAGTGTTATCTTTTACATAAGGATAGCCTTAATGTTTCTATCTTTGATAGCTGGATGGATGGTGGGCCATCCACCATTTAAAAAATGTAATATTGATGAGCGTTGCAAGATTGGGTGTAGGGAATACCTCTGTTTTCCTTTCCTCTCCCCTCCTCGTATCCAGTTCGTAGCTAAATATTCGGGGTGAACTGATTTTAACCTCCCCAAATATCTCAAATCTGTTAGCTTCTGTTCATCTGCATCACTAGTCCAGATAGTATGATCTCTTACCTGGACAACTTTGTTACTACCCTTTTAATTGGTACTCTTCTTTTTCTTTCATTTCATTATCCACACTGCAGCCAGGTGTCCTTTTGAGAATGCAAATGTAATTGTGTTGTTTCTATTTTGACATAATCTTTCGCCCTTTTCTTACTATGCTTTAGTCACAATAAGTGTATTTCAATTTCCTAGAAATGATGGTAGCTTTTTCTTGCCTCATTGCCTCTGCATATGTTGGCTTCTCCCTAACTTCCATTCTTTTGAACTCAACTCAAATGATTCTTTGGGAAAATCTTCTCTGATAAACTCCCCTTTGTTACCAAAGGTTGAGTTTGAATCATTCTGTTACATTATCTCATTAAATTTGCTACTTCTCAGTGATAATTAAATCAGGACTTGAAATTAGCACTAGATTCTCAATCCTAATATTTAGGAAATAATTTAATAAGCAAATCGTAACATGTTTTAGCACAATAGTTCATAATCATCTTTTTCTCTTTTCTCCTAGTGGAGCAAACTTCAGCATTTTGTTAATGAATCTGGGTCCTGAGAATTGTGCGACACTGCTGCTCTTTGTTTTACTTGAGAGTAAGATTCTGCTACATTCTCTCAGGCCAGCTGTGTTGACTGGAGTAGCCGAAGCTGTTGTAGCCGTGAGTATAGAATTGTCCTTATAGTACAGGATAACTGACAGAATTTTTACTCTAAAGGGAAATTTCCTTCAATGAAAGCAACTTTGAAATTACCAGGAAATGTTTAACATAAATATAATAGAGTGGCAAAGGGGAAATAGTAAGTATAAACAAAAAAAGGTGACTTCTATTTGAGAGAAAATTTCAGTTTCTGATTTTTCATATATTAGAGTACTTCAGATAATCTGTATGATTACATAACAAAACTCATGAATAAATCTTATTATATTAAACAAGAGACTGGCCAATTTCATCTGCCCTAAAATTATGCAAATGAATTACACAGTTAATCACTCCCAGTTTTAACTTTTAATCAGATTATTGTGAGCCAGTAACATAGGAAATTCTAAATGATTGTGAAATAGGATAATGTACAAATGCTTAGCTGTTATGTAAAACATAAATCAAGTCTTCCTCTGCTTTTTGATGGCTTCCCATTGCAATTAGATGTCTGATCATGTAGGGCTTTATAGATCATAGTATAGAATTTTGGATGTTCCATTTCTCCAACTTTATTTTTCATTATATGTTTAATTGAAAATAGTTGACTGTCCTGTCTTCCCTTCCCCATATTAAGAATGTAATTCACATGGAAATAAAGACCTATCTCTTTATTATCCCTGTGTCCTCAGCACTTATCACAGCTTACTAGCATGGAGTAAGTAAGCACTCAATAAATACCTGTTAAATCAACAAATGGGATATGTTTCCAAGATCTTAATTTGGTCAGAGAAATGCCACTATGACTAAAAACTGAACTAACCAATGTGAGATAGTTTATGGGGAGCAGAGGTCCTCATTGTGTATTAATTTTCCAAACCTCCACAGTTGCATATGAAAGCAAAAGCCATTGTAACGTGAAAATATTTGTTAAGGAACTGAACAGTTTTAGAAATTCCCACTCCGTCCTGTAAAACATTAGTGTTTACCTATGTTCCTTGCTCAGAATCTTTGTGGCCCAGTGTCTTGATTGATTTCAGCAATATAGTGTAAGAACAGGTGGAAAAATTGTAATGTGTAATTGGGAATCTTATGCAAAATGCAAGATTGCATGAAATTTATGTAACTGATGTTGGAGAACTGCCTGAAATGCATGCAAAACCATTGATAAATGAGGATTTGGCAGTTGTTGAACTGCCTGAATTGCATGCAAAACCATTGATAAAGGAAGATTGGCAATTTATCATTTAAAGAAGAGAAAATGGAAAGGAATGATGACAGGGTAAGTCCTTCAGAACGAGAATGATTTGAATATCAAAGAATATCAAAGAATTAATGGAGCCCCATAGCAAACATTGATGAAACCACTGAGTAGTTTTGTAAAAATGACCCTATTTATGATTGAGCTGTAAAAGTCAAAGGTGAATACAAGGGTGTCACATTTTGCTGTTAGTCTTGTTTTAAAAATTTTTTACATAGTTGCAGGTGTAATGTACCTTTTGTTGAATGGAAGATAGTTTTCACTGTAGGTATCTGAAGTCCTTGCAAGGTCCTTTGGGAGTGGCTCTGTCTGTCCTCTGATCTGATTTCCTGCTACTCTGCCCCCTGCTTACTCAGCTCCAATACACAAGCTCCTCCTCAAGCATCGTAGGCAGGCCCCATACTGTAGGGCCTTTGCTCTAACCGTTCCTCCTCTTAGAAGCTCTCTCCTCCTAGATGTCTCCTAGATACCTCTTTTGGGTGTAGGCTCAGTTGTCACTTTCTTAACCAAGTCTTTCCTGTTTGGCCTCTTTAGCAGTAGAACCTGCTCTCCTCTTTCCTGTTCTGAACTCTAATCCCCATCACTTGGCTTTCATTTTTCTTTTTCCATAGCACTTAGCGCTTCATGATAGGGTGTGTGTGTGCGTGGGTGGGTGTGTGTGTCTATACACACATGTCCTCTGTTTATTTTTGCTAGACCAGGTGGTGGCAAACTTCGGCCCACTGGTCAAATCCAGCTTGCCACCTGTTTGTAAATAAAGTTTTACAGAAACATAGGTCATTTATTTGCATACTTCTTATGACTGCTTTCATGCGTGGAGACAAAGTTAGATATTGGTGAGAGACAATATGGCTCACGAGGCCTAAAGTATTTCCTATCTTTCTTGTACAGAGTTTGCTGACCCTTTTGCTAAACTATAAATCTCAGGATGGCAGCAATCTTTGTTCACTGTTAATAGCCTCATCTAGAACAGTGCTTGGCTCGTACTAAGTGTGGAAATATTCGACACGTCAATAAATGATTGAAGACAAAATCCTATCCTGAACAACCATCTGGAATAACTGGCAGATGTAATAAATGCTATAGGCATTTCTTTGGGATGAGTGATGATAGAGAAGAGACAGCAAGGATTTTTATAGTAGAGGAAAACTTTTATCATCAGTGATTAGAATTTTCATATTAGCTGATAGTTAAAATTTTAGTCTGTTTTTTAATTTATCAAAACTTGAATTTTCACATATGACACAAGGTAGAGCTTTGTAAAGATTCTTGAGGTATGTTTTTGATTGATTAGTATTTTTTTTTTTAAAGACTTTATTTATTTATTTGACAGAGAGACACAGCAAGAGAGGTAATACAAGCAGGGGGAGTGGGAGAGGGAGAAGCAGGCTTCCCACTGAGCAGGGAGCCCGATG